ACTTGCTCTTTTGTTTATACTAACTACGAAATTCTTTCTGCTCTCTTTGAAGTTTTCTTTACCTTGTGGATTGAATAAATCTTATCTCTTAATAAATAAAATCAGTTTTTTTTTAATGAACGAATAATTACTTTTTAAAAAAGAAAACTTCATTTTATTTACATTAATTGATTAATTGTTTGTTAAATAAAAATAAAATTCAAATCATTAGATCATCAAATTTAATTATAAATAATAGTTTCTTATTGATCATAGTTTAAAAGTTGATTCGATTGATTTTCTTAAACACTTTTAAAATCAAGTTAAACTTTCACAGGTATGGTAAAATAAATGTCGCTGTGACCGTGACCGTACACCATTTTGCAGAAGTCTACTAACAAGGTATTGGTGAAAAAAATCGAATTATGGAATTTTAACTTCTTGCTTGGTATACATCAACAAATCGAATAACGATATTTCGAACTGAGATTTTCCCTACAGACAGGTTTATTTGTTAGTAGAGTACCCTGAAAATTTCAGTTCAAAAGAATATTTCCTTCCGGAGATATTAAAATTCCAAGAAAAACAGAAAATTCTAGCATCTTTCATTGAATATGAGCGATTTTTTGAGACTTTAAAATCTCGCGAAGGAAATATTCAAGACATCCTACTGACAAATAAACTTGTCTATGAGCGCAAAATGCCATCAGTTAATGTGCTCGTATATACCATGTCTGAGATTGAAGTTTCATAATTTGATTTTTTTCACTAATTCCATGTCAGTGATAGAAAAATGCAGTAAATTGTGAAAGATAATGCATTGAGACGAATCCTTCTCGGCTTCTACTAGTTTCTTTGAGACTTACTCTTATAGTCAAACTAACAGTTCGATTAGTGGTCACATTTTGAGACTTTTCCTTGTGAACTCGAGTGACATCTATCAATCTCGTTTTTTTCTGATACGAAGAAATATTTAACTATTAATTTTCAAGCAATTGATTCATCTTGGCGACGTTCGGAGAAAGAAAAAAAAAATAATTTGTTTTGTAATGATAATGATCGTAGAAAAAAAAAAAAATTGTTTGGTGATGATTATGATCGAAGAAAACGAAAAACAACTTTATATATTTATTCGTCTCGAGTTACATTTGTCGTACGACTCAACACATCATATAGAAAAATATTTTATCATACATATTATTATTATTATTATGATTTGTGTTTTGAAAAAAATCTCTTTTTTTTTCTTATAGATGAACGGTTTCAATCGTGTACGTTCAACATTACGTCGTACAATTTTTTCATCAAATAGAGTCGATACAAGTCCAAATACAACATGAGGTGAAGATTTTCCAATATTAAGTCGTCATTTATCATCATATGAACGTTTTGATTTATCAACAAGTAGCCAAGGAGGAGGAGGAGGAGCATCAACAACAACATCTTTACAAAATCTAAATACAATTAATAATTTATCATCATAAACACCAATTATTGAAACAACAAATGATGGCGTTGAATTTTTACCACATAATTCTAAACGTACGTTATCTACATACCAGGTGTATTTTGTCCAATTGCTTTATCAATGTTTTCAATATCATTATTTATGCGTGTTGGTTTTGTTGTTGCACATGCAGGAGTTTTACAAACATTATTACAATTTGGTCTTTGTTTTGTTATACTTTTTTATACGTTATTAAGTGTTTGTTCATTAGCAACAAATGGAGCTATTGTGAAGGTGGTGATGTTTATCATATGATATCACGAGCATTAGAATCTGAATTTGGTGGATCAATAGGTGTATTATTTTTCTTTGCTAATGTTATTGGTAATGGACAAAGTGTTGCAGCTCTTGTTGAAGCATTAGTTGATAGTTTTGGACCTGGAAGTAAATTTACAAAACAAAAATTCATATTTATATCTCATTTTTATTTTTTCAAAGGTAAAGCAAATGCTTTTCAAGATACACAATGGTGGAGATTTTTATATGGAACAATAATTAATATAATTAGTCTTATAACGTGTTTAGTTGGTTCATCATTATTTTCTATGGCAACATTTTTTATATTTATTCTTGTTAGTTTTAGTTATCTTATGGTTGTTGTTTCATTTTTTGTTCAAAGTCCAAAACCTGTTATTATACCAAGAGTTAATACATATGCATATGATCATCAATCATCAGTATTTAATAAAACAGATTTAATTTATGGATATTATACTGGTTTTAGTTCAATAACAATGCGTGAAAATACTTATGCAAATTATACAACTGGTGATATGATAAATTTTGCTACAGTTTTTGGTGTACTCTTTTCAAGTATAACAGGTTTATTGGCTGGAGCAAATATGTCAGGTAAAATCATAAAAATTCTGAGCTCGATCGGATAAAGTTAAGCAACTTCTATGACAAACCAAAATTTCCCGAAAAAACTTGTTTTTCATCAAACACATGTCTCCTTATTTTAGATGTTCCATCTATGCTAAAATGATAATCAAAAAACTTACTAGGGAATGTTTTCAATTTGAGTTCGGACTTTGGGTATTAGGTAGAGTTAAGTGAGATATGAAAAACCTCAAAAGGATAATCTCCTTTGACCTTCTGTCCAGAATTATAGGTATTTTATTAGAATCTTAGCATCTGACTTGGTGTATATACCAATAAATTGAATGATAGCATTTTGCTCCCAGACAGGTCTATTTGTTAGTAGGATGTCCCGAAAATTTTGCGCTTAAAAGAAGTATCTTCTTTCGGGAGATTTTAAAGCCTCAAAAATCGCTCATATTCCACGAATGATGCTAGAAGTTTCTATTTTTTTTTGAGACTTTATTATCTCTGATATGAAACATTCTCTTGAGCTGAAATTTTCAAAGTACTCTACTAACAAATAGACCTTTCTATACACAATAGAAATTCATATTGTTTGTGAAAAATTCGATCCAAAGAATAAACATCGGAGATGTTCAATGTTTCTCTCGTGATCGGATCTCACGCTATCCTCACATACATTTATCTTAATTTCGATATTTCCCGATGGAAAGAAAAACTAAAAGTTTTTATTTTGATTTTTTATTTCTATTTACCTTATCTATGTATTATTATTACAAAGTAAAAATACATTGGTAAAATGATATTAAATCTGTAACCTTATATGAATAGTGATTTTAATCATAACAAGATGTTATGACTTACATAAAGAAAACAATATATATTTTAAAATTAGAAAAAAAAAGCAAATCAATTTTATCTTCTTTTTTTAGGAGAATTAAAACGACCAAGTCGAAGTATTCCAACTGGTTCTATATCTGCTATATTCATTACAGACACATTACTTATGCCTGCTACAACTGATCGGTTAGAGTAAAACAATTTTTTTCTTCTAATTCAAACTTTTTTTTTTTTTGTTTATTTTAGATTTACATTAACAAACAATTATTTATTTTTACAAGATATTAATATTTGGGCACCATTTGTAATTATTGGAATGATAGCTGTAGTTTTTTCAGCATGTTTATCAGGACTTATTTGGTGCATCAAGAATATTAGAAGCATTAGCTATTGATGAAATTTTTGGTAGGAAATTTTTTTTTGACACAATTTCACTGTAACTTTCAAATCGATTATGAAAGATTTGTATTAGGCACAAAATTTTGCTAAATAGCTTTTTGACTTTTCTACCAACTGCCGTAGTTCGACATGTATCCGCCGAATTACTCATCTGTTAGTATGCTGACTACATTGTGACATACACCTACCCTTGTAGTTAGTTTGTATGTATAGGGAGCATAAGAACTCTGTTTTAGTTGTAGATAAGCTATTGAATGTGCTGTTAGATAGCATCGCATACCACAAGGTAGCTCCAAAGAAGAGATTATTTATGCTCTCCATTTGTTTTTTTTTGTTCTCATATCAAAATATTTTAAATTTCTGATTGATAATTATCGAAAATTGTATTAATGAAGAATGAGAATTTTTATTTCAAATAATTAAATCATAGGATCAGTACTTCGTTGGATTCGACAGGGAACAACTCATCATGGTAATCCATGGGCTACTGTCATAGTTACATTTATACTTGTACAAGTAAGTTAGATTTAAAAAAAAACACCTAATCTTTTTGTTTTTTCAATTTTTTTAATTTAGTTAACTTTATTTATTGATTCAATGAATAAAATAGCACCAATTGTAACAATATTTTTTCTTCTTGCTTATTTTTGCAGTTAATTTATCATGTTTGGCACTTGATTTAGTATCAGCACCAAATTTTCGACCAACATTTAAATATTTTTCACGGCATACTGCATTAATAGGTGCTGTTGGATCGATAATAATGTGTTTTATTGTATCGGCTGCAATTGCTATTGGTATTTTAATTGGTTTTATTTGTATGTTACATTTAAGAGATTTTCCTCGGACTTCATGGGGTTCAATATCACAAGCACTTATATTTCATCAGATTATATATTTGAAAATTTTGATTTTGTTTTATTGTTTAAAAAAAAAAAAAACATTTTTTTTAGGTTCGAAAACATCTTCTTTTACTTGATCCACGTAACGAACATGTAAAATTTTGGTGACCGCAATTCGACTATGTCCGGGTCCACAACCAACCTGACGGACTCTAGTATGGGTGACTTTGTGTCAAGAGATGATCTACATCTATATCTTCACAAAATCATGAGCTTTTGACGTCATCTTATGTTTTAAGTAATACTAGGATAGATGATGTTATATCGCACACAGGTCAACAACTTTGGCAGATAGCTCTGATATGAACTCTATTATAGCATCTTCTAGTATCATCGATTTTTTGTATCCTAATAATTACAATCAAGTCATTAAATTCTACTTCTAAAAAGAAGTTGTTATGAGGTGTACATAGTTGACATGAAAAAGAAGGCTTATCGAGTCTTCTACTAAATGATATTATTTGGCATAGGATACAACCTCTATGCGAGATATTCAAAGAAAATTTTGTTTGTCGCATTATAAACTCCAAATTAAATTTTTAATTAAACTGTCTGTTGTTCAGTTTCTTGTACACTAGATCAATTATTTTAATACCACACGATAGCCGATAATAATAAAAAAAAAACTTAAACAAAATATATTTGTATATAAAAATTGTGACCGAAGTTATGGAAGAGTTTTCTAGTATCAGATATGGAACCAGTCTGAGTAGATTAGATCATAACTTTTGTTCTAAAATTTTTCTAATCCTCGAAAATCATATCCAATCAAATCCGTTTATATATTTTTGTACTAGACACTTCGCTCTGTCGACCAAAAAAAGAATCAATTCTCTACGACATTACATTGCAATGCTAGATCGAAAACGAAATTATTGCAGAACTTTCGTTCCCTCTATTAAATTAATCTTTGTTATTATTTGAATTAAAATAATTTTCATAGGATTGGTGTAGAAACAACAACAGGTTGTTTACTTGCAGCAAATGCATTAGGTAAACGAGATATATTAGCATCGGATGTTGGAATACAAGCAACAGAAGAATTACTCAAAGATTTATCTCATGAAACATGTGTTGATCGATATTTAAATTAGTTTTCATATATTAATAGTTAATTCTTCTAATGGCTCTTGCCAAAGGTCATTCAAAAATTCGATGTGGACCATTATCTGATCGTACTAAAACAGCAATTTATGTTGTTGAACATTTAACTAATGTTTGTTTTATTTCTAAACATGATTATTTAATATTCTCTTATTTATTATTAAAGGTTAAATTCAAAATTACTGAAATTCCATCATCGAATTCTACAACTATTATTGAATGTGAAGGTTTAGGATATCAACGTTCAAATTTAAAACTATTTTCTCACAATTTCTTATTGTTTTATTTTCTATAGAGGTGAGTAAAAATAAGTTGTTGTTTTTTTTTTTTCAGATATTTATATATCTAATCATGCCAGTTAAAAGAAGTGTCTCGAACATGAATGTGCTGATGATAAATTAATACTTATTGATTTCATTTTGCAATATGATATGTCATCTTCTTGATTTGATTTCATTCATAGATGTGATTCATGTACAATGATTGTATTAGCTATCAATAAAAATTAAATCCTTCTCATCGAAATCTTGTCGTTTTTTTTTTATTAAAATCAATATCAAGTAGGTGAGATAGAGATATATTGTATTGAAGCAATACAAAGATTTATTTTTATTCATCCAACGTTATTCATGATGTTAATACATAAACTATTGAAATAACACTTGTAAAATATGATAAAGCAACATTAGCATTTTAAAGTGCAAAATCATTAGATGTTAGAAATTGATTTAATGACAATTTGAATCGGATTGAAGATCGTAGTTCAATAATATTCTAGTAAAGTTAAAACAAACACAAACAATAATAATAATTCGTCTTCATTTACTAGATTTAGTAAGTCGAACAAAGTATTAATCGAATATGAAATGATATTCATTAATTATTTAATGATATAACGATACAATTTATAACAAAAATCAAATTAACGCATGCAAAATTAAACAATATGCTGTTTTAATTGTAAAAAAAAGGTTTCATTTTTTTTCTAATTGGCAATGAAATAAAATTTATTTATCTTTTTTTCTCTTGGGTTTCATTTGTAAGAGATTTTTTCGTACAGTATACATAAGTGGTTCTTTGAAAGAATGAATACTCTCAACACTGTTCGGTATTAATGTCGTAAAAAAAAGAACGTATGGTGTGTGTGTGTGTGTGTTTTGCTATTGAGCCACGTTTTTTTTTTCGTTTATCATTGAAATGAAGAGAAACCGAAAGAAAAGAAAAACCAGGAATACGAAAAAAATGAAATACACACGAACGAAACAAAAAAAACACTAGGAGTACAAAATATGCGTTTTTTACCATCACGTACTTCGTAATAAAGTAAGTCAATATAAAGCGCAAAGGATAGTAATAGATAGATCGTGTGTATTGTTTCTACTCTCTCATCTTCTCTTCCATATGATCATTTAAGAATTGATTAATCCTTTCGTCATTGGTCATTTTCGTTATCTTGAGGCAAAATCAATCATTTGACGAATTTCCAATGATCGGCTTTATTGATACATAGAATGTTCATTTTAAATAAACAGAGAGAAAGAAGAAAAAAAAAAGGATACTCCAACTATATAGGTATATGAAATCACTATTGTACATGTGCGTTTCTTAAGTATCTTGAGTGAATTTGTAATGCAAAGAAGAAAAAAATCATTCGACATTCAATCAAAATCACTCTTGAGAATAAAAAAAAAACTGCAAAGCTATTTGCTTGTCGCTTTTTGAATCAACATTATTACCAACTACGAACTAGTATTTAGGTAATTATCAATTCATTTTTTAATACATGAATAAATAACCAAAAGTAGATTCTATTGTATTAAAATGTTATTATTATTCTACTATATACGTATTCAAATCGACTCTTTCAGTAATTTTATATTTGAATTATTTAAAATACATAAATTATTTTTAATGAAAGATTAATTTAGTTAACGAAAAGAAATTTATTCGTATTATTAACTTTTGATAGTTTTATAAATTTAACTTTTCGAGACATTGTTAATCAGTAGGAAAAAATAAAAAACAAAGAACTGATTTTTTGCAGTTCAGTCAAACGAAATTTTTGTGAGATAACAAAATATGAGAATTGACTACTATAATAATGTACACAATTTTGTAACTATTTCCTAAGTAACTTATATCTCTTGAAGCAAAGTTATTTTTTAGAACAATATAGTTATGTTTCACAAGCCGCATAGAAGGGTGTGCCGAGGCCACCAGGTCCGAACGGGAGGTCGATGACTCAATAGGTCGATTAGAAGGTTTATGTTAAAGTTGATTGGATTTAGGAAGTTGAGCACTTTTTTGGGAATCGGTGAATAAAAAAAACAATAAAATGCTGAACTCCGATGAGAAAAACGAAGATTTCTCAAGATTGAGGGCAACACTCCTTGTTGTACATCAAATAGTTTGTTTTTTTTTTGATCTTCGAGATAAAATTCCCATATGTCCCATTAATTTTAAATAAAAACCTGCTTTCTTAAGTCTCATTTCTAAAGAAACGCATTATCATTTGATGATAAAATTATAAAGATAAGACAAGATATCGGTATAATAATAAAAAAAAAATAATATCTACGTAAGTTAGGTATTATTTGGATACAGGTTTGAACTATTGGACTCTATATGTGTTGGTTAGCCAATTGGATAGTGAGATATTTTATATCAACAATATATGCATATGGTAATTCGAAAGGGAGGACATATATATTTTCTTTTCTTTTTCTTTCTCTGTAGTATTTTTTTTTTTTATATCATTATAGAAGAACGCTGATCGATTAACTCGGTCTCACTGTTATCTATCTTTCTTTCTTCTTTTTTTTCTTCTCATTTATATTTTCGCTATATACATGCATGCATCCGTTCGCATTCGTCTTATTCTGTCCATCAAAATTCTTCTAGTAACTAAATCAAGCAAATAAACAGAAATAAATAAGCTAGAACAGTACAGCTGATTATTGTGTTCTAAGTTCTATCAATAAGCTCATTTAAAATTGTACTTGTACGTATATCTTATACTAAAAAGGTCGTTCTGACTCTTCATTATTCATGATGAGTTTTATTCTGTTGTTGATTGATATAGAATAGTAAAGAACAAATTATAGATTGAGGGGAAG